GAAATTTTAGTTAATCACTTTATGAGATTCCGAGCTTAAAATAATATCTTTGTACCCTTCGGGTGCATTTGTTGCACCGGATTATCTCGGATTGGACTAGTTTCAGGGACTAAGCTGGACTGGCTTAGACTAGACTAAGCTAGACTGACTTAGTGAGGAATTTGATGCAGTGTCGAACTAAAAATAAAGGATAATAACAAACTACAATATTATATATATTTTTAATTCATATCTAATAATATTATATTAATTAATTCTATTTTTTTTATTCTAATAAAACTCTCCCTCTCTCTAGAAGCCTCCATCTTTATCTCCCTCTTTATATCCCTTGTTCTCTCCGTCCCATGCTCTACTTCCCTTCCTTTTTTTTTTCTGATTAATTGCCAATTTTTTTTTGCAACGAAGAATCGAGCTTGGTTTTTCGGGTTTTTGTTCGATGCAAGATTCCAACCGAAGAGAGCTTTCCAAGTTCGTGGATTCAATCGAAGCCGCAAGTCTGTGGAGCGGCGGAACCGGCCTGCAGCGATGTCTGGCGAGTTGACCGGCGACGAGTCGAGGAAGTGAGAGATGGTGATGGCTTGGATTCTTGAATTCGTTTCCATCAAACCTAATATTGCAGACTTGGAGATCTTCTGAGATGGAGAAGAGGGAGGAGGAGAGAGAGAGTCAGAGAAAGGGGAAGGCAAGTTGTTGCTCAAGCCTGGGGCGAAGCAAAGCAACACGAGGTGAAGTGAAGAACATAAATGGGACTATGAATCCCCTTGTTTTTGGTGGCTCTCGCTAAGCCCACCTAGCGAAGGATTTAGTCGGCATGAGTCCAGCTTAACCCATTAAACACAATCCCAATTTACACCAAACACAGGACTACTGATTCTAGCTAAGTAGTCCAGTCCAATGAAACTTAAGCCGCCCAAACAACGCGCCCTTCTTGTTTAACGCATAGTTATATTTTAGACTAACAAACAAGGGGAATGTCGAGGCTAACTACTGTTGTAATCTTACTCTCTTATATGCAAGAGTGTCAGAAAGAACCAAATTCATGGGATTTAGTCATTAACTACAAGTTTATTTTCTTCTTGCTTAGAACGACTAGGAAGAACTAATTAATTCCCTGATAGAATAACCATTCGTCCCATCAAACTCATTTATAGTTTAATTTAAGAATTTCAATTAATCAAAAATAAAATCTCGTGGTTCCTTGTAATAGAATTGTTAAACTGAATGAATATTGTTGATGCACAAAACCAGAGGTCTTGAAACAACGTAAATCAGACCGTGAATCTGCAAGAAATGTAAATAACACAAGATGTATCGTGGTTCACCCCAAGGTTTAGGCTACGTCCACATTGATTGTATTTCTTTAAGAGAGCCTCTCTATATGTGAGAGGGTTGTGAGGGTGAGAGCTTGGGGGGGTGAGAAGGCTTAAGAAAATGGCCTCTCCAATTATGAGGGTGAGGAGTCCTTTTATAGAATAAAGGCTCCTCACTTATTACATATTTGCCCCTTCCTTTATTACATAATTACATTTAAGTTCCCCGAGTATTTGTACGAGATATAAATATAGAGGCCCTAAGTATGGTACAAACAAATATTATCGATAGTAGAAGGTGCGCTTACATATGTGGTACTTGTCGTACAAGAAACAATAGCTTACACTACAACAAAATAGCTGTTTGGCGAGGACTTTGTCCTCGTTAAAAGTTGTTGCTTTAGCGCTGAAGGTTTTCAGCGAGGAAAAAAATTCCTCGCTCGTTCCTCGTAGTAGGCCCGTCGGGAAATGTGTACAGGGAGGAATTATTTCCTCACAGAAATGATACAGCGAGAGTGGAACGTTTTCTCGTAGTTGAGTTGGAGCGGTGACAAATTCCTCGCTAAAGGGGTTGGAATGTGGTCGCCAAAACCTTTTGACAACTTGAATATTGACATTCCATAACTTATGCGAGGATAAAATTCCTCGCAAAAATGATCAAATTCCTCGCTGTAAATATCTTTTGGCGAGGAATTTGTAGGTGAGTTTTCAGCGATGAACATATTATTTCTCGCTGTAGATCATAAGTTGCGAGAATGAATTTCCTCATTGATAAGTATCTATGAGACACTTGTTTCCTCGTTGTAACAAGTCTATAGCGAGAACTTAAACGAAGGTAAAATTCCTCGGTGTAAGTTAATGATAATTATTCTCATGAGTAACCTACTACGAGAAGTTGGTTTCTCCCTGTAACCTGAATTAATTTAGTGCCAAGAATTAATGATCAAATGTACTAAAAGTTCATTCATATTAGTCCAAAACCAAAATAGCTTACAATGATAATTCATAGTCTACAAAATTAGTTACGCTTAATGTTAACAACTATGAAAGTTCACATTGTTTTCACAAAAAGTTCACTTATTTGAGCAAAACAAAAGGACTACTTATGGAGGTGGTTGCTGCCCTTCCATTATTTTGTGTAGGAGTTCCTCAAATTTCTTTTGGTTCTCCTTCAATTCTTGGATCTCTTGTTTTGCTTCACCAAGCTCTTATTTTGTTTCAACAAGCTCTTGTTTTGTTGTCACAAGCTCTTGTTGTTGAGTCTCAAGTTTTTCTTCTAAATGTTTGTCCAACATAGTGTCTTCACGAGAGACAGACTTTGAAGGACCTTTGAAGTACCCAAACTTGTGACCAAGAACCCCTAGAACAATTTCATCATCTATCAACGTCACCGTACCATCTAGAAGAGTTGTTTCGTTTTTCATACTTAGCATCTCTTCCTACAAATGAAAAATAAACTATTATGCTTAGCTCCTTCATGTACACAAACATAAAATCTATCACATTTGATTCCTTCGTATATATATCATAAACATAAAAGCTTCACATATTCTTCTATCTCGATTCAGTCGAAAATGACTTGTCTATAATTATAATTGCTTATGATCAATAATACATCTTTATCAACATAATGACATTATCAAACTCATACAAGCACAAAAAAAGCCCTGCAACTTATCAAGCCTCGAATTACATGTCAGCTCTTGAGCTAAATAAGAGGTAATTGTCAAACAATTATATTTTTTTTTCCCAAGCAAAAACCTTAGTGTGCCAAACTTGAGTCCAATGAATGACAGAAAAGTGACAGGGGACACTGAACACTACAAGTCATGGACAACACCTTTATACTTACACGTCTTATAAGTGGCGAGACTCTTTTATGTAGGAGAAATAAGCAAGAAACAATACACGCTTTCAAAAGTTTACATGTTATATTATGACATACACATAAACATTGAATACAAACATACATTGACATAGCAGGACTAGAATATACACAACCAGTATGTACATAACTAACTTACCCACTTCAGTTTAGCTCCTTCATCCCAACCATTTTTTGGTGTTTTTATGCACAGCCTCAAAGTAATCAATTGCACTTAGTTGTTCTCCGGTTTTGGCTTCCTAATACATGAATCACAAATTAAAGTTAATAACTCATTATCCACCTAGAATCTAGATTAAAATTATGAAAAACACATCTTACAATCTCTTCTTCATGGGCACTAAAAGATTTTGACCCTCCTTTATGATTGTAAGTCAAATGAGACCTATTAATTGCATTTTTATTTGAGCGTTCCTGCATAGCAAAATAAATTTGGTGACATGAAGAAGATAAACAACATACATGACAACCGCAATTCAGTTTATTAATATACACGTGTACCTTGAATTGATCACTTGCATAACGATCACAAAGAAAATTCCATTCCTCTTGACCATCTTCATGTTTGTTTTGTTTTGCTTCTTCAAGAGTTGGGAATGAATCAAAATGCTTCTTCAGCTTGTGTCGAAAATCAACAAACCGCCTTTGTAATGCATTCTTAATATATGTACTAACATGAGTTAGTGACATATCAATATCGTACTTGCTCTGCATGGAATTCAATTTATAATAAATCTAATTTAAGAAAGACTTTTATATATACTGAATGTAACAAAAATGTGAAATGAAAATATTACTCACAGTTATTCTTTCAATCATCTTATCCACATCTTTCTTTTCTACATTCCTCCATTGCTTCACATTTAGTGGTGCATAGGTCCGAACCACAAAACCAATATCATTCACAAGAAATGAGGAATTCGGACCTGTGGGCTTCCCCTTTAGTTTTGTCAAAGTAATTTGTATTTTCAAACCACCAAGTTGCTTTTGCAGTTTATCAGAATTCTTCCCATGGGTCTTTGACCCTTTTTTTTCGGTTCACCTAAAACATCATTAATGCAAAATTTATTTTACATATGATACAAGAACCTTTTACTGAAACAAAGACAATATTAAACAAGTAGAACAATAAGGCCAATGACCAAGAAAACTATAAGAATAAAAAATCAATTGAATACACTAATAACATCCTAAAAGAAAAGAGCCACATTTTCTTGCTATAAAACAAAACACCTTTTGAGGTTTATATCAAGCACTTGCACTAACTTTTAATCCATTAATGAAAAGTTGAAATAGTTAATAAAACACGTCATAACTCTTACACAGATTATATTCAAACACTTGAGAAGCAAATCACTTCAATTAAGCAACCTAATATAGATAACATTCAAAATAAAAAGGCATACCATTAGCACTTCCTTGGGTATTGACTAATGATATAACAGCAACAACTGTATTGCTTGAAGGTATCACAGGAGCAGCTCTAATTTGTGGATTATCAGTTGATGCCTCACTTGAAGAGTCATGAGGGATTCGCTTCCTTTTGCCTGCCATAGTGATATTCTTCGAGAAGAAAAAAACTAACAAAGTTAAAATATGCAAGTTATTTGAGAAAGCTTAACAACACAACAAATTAGTTATATGAATATGGACAATAAATAATTACAATTGATCAAGGGAAACTATCGCACCTTACCCCTCAAATGTCAAAGACAATAACCATATGAAAATGCAAAAATTAAAAACATGCAAGCACATCATGGCACTACCAAAAGTTCAAAATCAGAAACTACATTAGAAAAATCTTAGTAGTCACTGCCATCACTATCGTCACTTTCAAGAATTTCTTCATCTTCACCATCATCCAATGGATTATCTTCTTCAAAATCCTCGTCATCATGTCTTGAATTCATCCTATAAGTTGGATCACTTTCTACAGCATAAACAGTAGGCTCATCTTCAGAATCTTCATCCATCTCATCATCACTTGATAAGAGATTTTCTTGATCTTCTTGAACTGACCATCGAACTTCATTGAACTCATCCTTTTGGTAAACATTATTATCAGTAGTTGTTTCGATATCTTCATCTACCTCTTCAGTTGCATCATTTTCTGGAACATCCCATATATGTCTGCATTGCACTCTTTGCACGACTTTCCAGCTAGAACCTAACTTGTAATCGTCGATGTAAAACACTTGTTGTGCTTGTTCAACAAGTATATAAGGATCATCCTTATACCACAGTGAATTTACATTAATGCTTGAAAGATGATAATCTTGACGTATCTTTCTCTTCTTAGGGTTTTTGTGAATCGAGTCAATGTTAAACCACAAACATTTGAACAAAAATACCTTATTTCAATTGATGTAAGTTAGTTCCAACACACTTTCTAAAACACCATAGTAATCATGACTACAATCACTATGTTCCCCAGAGACAAAAATTCCACTATTTTGTGTGGTACGATTATTGTCACGACCTTTTTTCTGAAAGTGAACTCCATTAACAATACACCCAGTGTATGTATGCACGCGGACATCAGGCTTGCATGACAAATAATGTAGATCATCAGTGGCTTCCGATGATCCCATTTCTCTCAAGCCATATATCTATTAATATTATAAAAACACTGATTATTTATAGGAAAATAATGACACATATTTTCAAACATAAACATGTTACAAAACTTACCCGAATTTCAAACCATTTAGGAAACTCTTGTTCCTGCCTTTGACATAAAATTTCATTTCTTTTTAGCTTTAATTCATCCATATGTTCACTAAACAAGTAAGAAAAACAAATACTTAATTAATGCTATAATACATAAAAATGAGAATATATAGATGACCTAGAAGATTACTTACATAAGATATGGTTGAACCTCATCACAATTCTGGAGCACAAACCAATGAGCTTTATCAATTTCATTTTTAGGCAACAATATAAACTTTCTAACTCCAAATGGACGTGCTTTTTGGGAGAATACTAACAAACTACCCACATTTCGATCATTTATGCCGTCATCATTTCGCTCATTTGGATTGAAGCGTGTTTCAACCCCACGTAAATACAATGAGCAAAACGTCATTGATCCATTTACAATATATCCTTCTATTAGTGAACCTTTGGGACGAGCTTTGTTTTTAACATATTTTTTCAGTTTACCTAAGAGCCTTTCAATCGAATACATCCATCGATTGTTAACAGGACCGCCAAGGTTGGCTTCACGAGGTAAATGGATAACCAGGTGAACCATTATATCAAAGAAGGCAGGAGGAAAAATCATCTCAAGTTTGCATAAAGTTATGACAATCTCCTTCTCCATACGCTCTAAGTCTGACACTCTTAGCGTTCTAGCACAAATATTCTGGAAGAAAATAGATAATTCAATCAGAGCATTGCACGCTTCTGTATCCAAAAAGGGACGAATACCAACTGGGAGAAGACGCTAAAGTAAAACATAGCAATCATGACTCTTTAAACTAGATATATTTCTATCATTGATGCGCACATTTCTAGAGATATTGGCAACGTACCCATCAGGAAATTTGACTAATTTTAGAAACTTACAAAATTCCCTACGCTGGGGCGTTTTTAGTACATATCTAGCATGTGGTTTTCTCATTTTTCCGCTTTCAAGTCTCAAATGCTGATTTGACCTAATGTTCATAGCTTCCAAGTCGCGACGAACATTATCTGTGTCTTTTGTTTTGCCCTCAATATTCAACAATGTCCTTATTACACTATCACATATATTTTTTTCAACATGCATAACATCAATATTATGTCTCAACCTTAGCTTCGACCAATACTCTAACTCGAAGAAAATACTCTTCTTTGTCCAATTCAACTCTTCAGCCGCTCGTGGTCGATCCCTTTCTCTATTATTCTCATATTTTCCAGGACTAAAGCTTCTGACTTTATCTAATTGTTGCAATATTTCAGCACCAGAGAGAACTTTAGGAGGAAGCCTATGTTCAGTATGACCATTATATTCAATACTCATTTCTCTCCAAGCATGACCACAAGGTAGAAATCTTCTATGGCCTATGTAAGATATTTTATTTGTTATCATCTGTGATGTTATATCTTTATTGCAAATCGGGCATGCCAAGTAGCCTTTTGTGCTCCAACTAGACAAATTGCCGTAGGCAGGAAAGTCATTAATGGTCCATAAAACACATGCATGCATACGAAAAATTTCCTTTGTAGATGCATCAAAAGTTTGAATAACATCCACCCACAATTCTTTTAACTCATCCACTAGTGGATGAAAATACACATCAATCTCCTTCCTAGGTGCATTAGGTCCAGAAATAAGTAAAGTCAACATGGAGAACACTGCCTTCATGCATTTCCAAGGTGGAAGATTGTAACACACAAGAATAACTGGCCACATACTATAAGGTTTACTCATATTTGCAAACAGATTAAAACCATCTGTAGCAAGGCCTAACCTAACATTTCTCGAGTCTTGGGCAAACAAAGGATATTGTTTATCAAACTCTTTCCACTCATCTGAATCAGCTGGATGCCTAAGAACCCCCTCTTCATTAACCCTTCTCTCTTTGTGCCAATTCATGTCTTTTGCAATATGCCTAGACATATACAACCTTTGCAATCTCAGCTTAATGGGTAGATAACGTAATACTTTTTATGGAATCTTCTTGCGCTTTCCAAAACAAGGCTTGTACCTCGGCTCACCACTCGGGACATTTATCAAGTTTCTCATTAGTCTTCCAGAATAATGCACTGTCATTCTTGCAAGCATGAATTGATTCGTACCCTAACCCCAACTCTCGTAGCATCTTTTTTGCATCATTATTCGTTGATGGAATAGATGCTTCTTTTGGATGAGATCTTTTTAACAAATTGAGTAGCATGTCAAAATGCTTGTTACTCATAAGAGAGAGACACTTAATATGCATCAACTCTACAATAAAGCTTAAAACAGAAAAGTTCTCACAACCAGGATAAAGCTCCCTTTGAGCTTTGCCAAACAAATACTCATATTTACTAGCGTGGGAGTTGTCATTGCCACTTGTGGCATTAACATTAGTTCCCATATTTGTTGGGCCTTAAAAATCATGTAACATCTCAAACATCTCATTATCCTCAATGTCATTATCATTTTCACTATCATCATCTATTTGGGCACTTGACCCACTTTCTTGAAATTCCCCATGTAAAATCCAAACTTTATAGTGTGGTGCGAACCCGCTATTATATAAATGGGAACGGATAACATGCAAAGAATGAAGATTCCCATTTAGGCAGTCTCTACATGGACAACGTGTCTTGTATTCCTCATTTAAATGTTTCTTTGCAGCCAATATGAATGAGTTTACACTAGCAGTGAATGCATCACAAAATCTATGTTTAAGGAACATCCAACTTCGATCCATTGCTAATAACTATTAACAATCAAAACATCATTATTTTTTGCCCCGACCTCATGACCCTCTAATACTAATAAAACAAAACAATATGACCTATGTCTTTATCACCTATCAAATAGGTCCTATATCATGTTTATGATTCTAATTCCAAAGATAATATGTTTATGATCCTAATTACCAATGATCCACATATATTTTACAACTTCAACAACATGAGAGGTTAAAACAATAAAATTAGAAGTCAAGCAACTTACCTAAGAGGAGATAAAGCAGATGGTATACAGTTTCTCAATGCCTTCCAAATAGAAATGATAGTTCTCTCTGCTGCCAACTGAAAAGATATAAGTTAATAACACAATTAGAATTGAAACTTACAAGAGGTCATGGTTAAAGTATATGTCTCACTTTGGGACTTAAAAGGCACAACACGTATAGTAACTTTCATTTAATCTGCCTACATAAGCATTTTGTGATGGAAAGATGCATCAATTCATGACTTTAGAGAAATGGGTAATTTTTGTGTAGGTTAAGTGGTTCAAGCACAAACTTAATATAAGATAAGTAAACTAGAAAAAAAAAATTGTGAGAAGAATGAATATTGCAAAAGCAGCAACCTTATCTCCACAAAAGCCCCAGAAAAACAGTTTTAGCCAACCAATATTAAGCCCGATTTTGAACACCCATACCAAATGATGCAAACAAACATGAGATTCGAAGCTTGTTTTGAGTACATTAAAAGCATCTACTATTTGTAGGAAACAAGGTTCTGAGTTGAAAATTATGCAAGATACAATATAGAGCCCCGAAACCGGAAACCCAATATTTGCTGCTGTCTGGCAGCTTCGTGACTCAAGTTTGTACATGGTTTTGACATATCAAAACTCAATGGAATTATGTGAAATCAGATAGTCTTTGATCATGGACATGTCTAGTTTCAAAACACATGATAATGGATCAAAATGAATGCATAAGGACATAGAAATCAAGAGCCAAAGTAGGCTACTTGAAACATAGTTTTTCTTTGCAGAAAACATAAGTTCCCTGCAACTTAGAACCCAAACTCTTGTAATTATAACTTCATAATACTTTCATACAATCCCAAAATCATGTCTATAACTTTGATTTCAATTATACTCACAAAAAAAAGGTCGTACCCAGTGCACAAGGCTCCCGCTTTACGTAGGGTCTGAGAGAGGTGAATGTCGGCTAGCCTTACCCCCATTTATAGAGAGGCTGCTCCTAAGTCTCAACCCGAGACCTACTGCTCATAGGTGAAGACACTTGTCATCGCACGAAGTGCGACCTTTTTAGAAATCAATAACAATTACTAAAACAAAATTATGATTTACCCAATTCAGATTACAGAGCAATCAAAGAATCATATTCCCATATGAAATCTAACTTCGCAGTAAGACAATGAGAACCCACAAACCATTAACAAGTAACAGTCAAGTTTTACCCAATTTAGATTATAGGGGATACTAATTAACTTCACTGTGGATGGATCATAGACTGCAGAAGAACAATGAAAACCCACATCCGTAACCACGTAAAAATGTGAAATTGTGATGTGGGTAATTCTGATTTCATGATCAGTATCAAAGAAAGATATGAAATTGGAGGGAGAAGGAGTGAAGGAATGGTAACCTACTGAGTGGAATCGTACTTTTGTTATGATTCACTTTGCCTCTTCAAATGCAGTCTTCTATACTTCCTTCGACCTCTCTAAAAAACCGAGTATAGTTTTCTCTCCTCGTTATCCTTCCTTCTACCTCTTTTTCTTTCTTTTTCTTTTCCCCTATTCTCTTCTCCACCTTCTTCAGGCCGCCTCCTTTTTCCACCCACTCCATAAACGACTCCGTATAACACAGAGAAAAGTATTGAGTTTTCCAAACTTGGGCTGTCTACGAGAAATATTTTTCTCGTTGAACACTTATGCGACCCAAATACAACATTTCTCGCTGTAGGTGTGAATAAAAGGCGCCCTATTTGAAACTTTTGGGAAATTCTAGCGGGAATGCTACAACAAGCATCCATTGTCCTCACTGTAGGTGTGACTCCAAGTGTTTGCTGAATCTATCGTTTTGAAGGAATACACATTCTACAAAACTAGTTTCAACGATCAAACCGTCAAACATATTTGTATATGCTCCAAGATTGCATACGTAAAAAATTGCAAAATACTGATATTCATATAATAGGTAACGGGATGAAACCTTTCGACGGTTATAAACAAAACCTCATGATTTAACGGTAATTTTAACTATGATTTTGATGATTTTTTACAAATATACTCCTCGACCATATAAGAACACGATGAACAAATTTGATCTTCAATTTAAAATATTTTCACTAATGGATACCACAAAATATTATGTTTTACTTAATGGAAGTATAAAATAAACTTCAAGTGTTTGTTTAATCTATCATTTTGACGGAATACACATTCTACAAAGCTAATTTCAACGATCCAACCGTCAAACTTGTTTGTATATACTCCAAAATCGCATACGTAAAAAATGGAAAAAAAATGACATTTAGATATTAGGTAATGGGACGAAACTGTTCGACGGTTATAAAAGAAAACTCATGATTTAACGGTTATTTTAACTCCGATTTTGATGATTTTTTACAAATACACTCCTCAACCATATAAGAATACTATGAACAAATTTGATCTTCAATTTAAAATATTTGCACTAATGGATACCACAAAATATTATGTTCTACTTAATGGAAGTATAAAATAAACTCCAAGTGTTTGTTGAATCTATCATTTTGACGGAATACACATTCTACAAAACTAGTTTCAATGATCCAACCGTCAAACTTGTTTGCATATGCTCCAAGATCGCATACGTAAAAAATCGCAAAAAACTGACATTCAGATATTAGGTAACGGGACGAAACCTTTCGACGGTTATAAATGAAAACTTATGATTTAACGGTTATTTTAACTCCGATTTTGATGAGTTTTTAGAAACACGCTCCTCAACTCTATAAGAGTACGATGAACGCATTCGATCATCCTTATAACACTGTATTGTTCTTATAACACTTAGAAAGATATTAAGTTTCACAAACTTGGGCCGTCTGCGAGAAATATTTTTCTCGCTGAACACTTATGCAACCCAAATACAAAATTTCTCGCTATAAGTGTGAATAAAATGCACCCTATTTGAAACTTTTAGAAAATTTTATGGGAATGCTACAGTGAGAACCCATTTTTCTCGCTAAAAATTTATTCAGTGAGAAAAACAATAATTTCCTCACTAATATTTTGGCGGGAAGGGAATATAATTCCCTCTAAACCTAGAGCGAGAAGAACAATTTTTCCTCGCGACTTGGATCCTCTCCTGAGCTAATGGAGAGGATCCTCCTGACCACTAATTATGGGCTGTTGGATTTTTATCCAACGGCTACAAACAGGGGGATCCCTTTAAAGTTATAATAATTATAGTCGTTGGATAAAAATCCAACGGCTCATGATTAGTGGTCAGGAGGATCCTCTCCATTAGCTCAGGAGAGGATCCAAATCCTTTTCCTCACTAGCATTATGTATAGCAACAAAATAATTTTCTCGCCGAAATTATTTTTTCCTCGCTATTTCTTAGAGATGTAAGAATACCAAATGAGCTCACTTTTTGCGAGAACTCAAAATTTTCTTCGCCAAAAGAAACTCTACAGCGTGAAAGATAATATTCTCGCTGAAACGTTTCTTGCTAAATGACCAATTTGTTGTAGTGTTAGCGAACAAGAAAGTGTCAGCTTTAACACTTGAACCAGGTTTGACCAAAAAAAAAAAAAAAAAACACTTGAACCAGGTGTTGACCGTGCCGTTCTGAATTCCATATAACCTACATACATAAAAATCCATGCATACAAAATCTAAAAGAGTAATTAAGATCCTCAGCATATACAGCACCTATCACCACCCCACCCCCCGGGACCCGAGACGCGGGGCGCGGGGCGCGGGGCGCGGGGCGCGGGGCGCGGGGCGCGGGCGCCCCATATATACCTTATCAAATAATCCGAATTTTCTGTTAATTTTCCAGAATTTGCTGGTTTGGGTTGTCTAGGGTTACGCTATCAAATAAATCGAATTTTCTGTTAATTTTCCAGTTCATCTGCCTTTCTTCTTTTTAATGCTTGTTTAATTTGAACAAAGGTTATTCTGATAAATCCTAGAAAACACTGATAAATCCTCAACCAATTAACCAATCTAATTATAAAAAAAATTCTCAACCAATTAAAATTTTGATAAATCCTAGAAAACACTGATAATGCTTTCACATATATTTAGGAAAATGTAGATCTTTCGTGGCAGGGTGTGTTGCGCATGCTTCAGATTTTATTTCTGCTCGCGTTACCCAAGTCTGGGCTGCCAAGATTGGTCTACAATTTGTCAGTGACTTGTGCTTTCAACAAGTGATTCGGAGATGGATGGGAAAACTTTGGTGGACAGCATTAATCGAGACGAGGAGTGCTTTGAGTCTGGAAGTTCCTGTGACAATTTTCAAAAAGTTTTTTGTACTTGGCGGCAATGTCGGGCAGCAAATGTAGTTGCCCATGAACTTGTTGAATTATAAGCTGTGAGCTAATTTTGAATTAGTTCTAATTAAGCCTTATTAATTAAATGTGTATTCACTTGAGTAAATGTGTGTTAG